AGAGAGAGAGAGAGAGAGAGAGAGAGAGAGAGAGAGAGAGATCTTTAAATGGGGGACAGGCTATACTTCTCTACTAACTGAAAGTGTTCATTGTACCTTCCAACGCATTAGTCCATAGTTACAGAGAAAAACCAGGATAGATTAAACTCAGAAGATACCCAATGGTGCAGCTCCACTTACACAACTGTGGAAGCATTCACTGATTTCTAGCCCATGTCAATGTCGTACATGCATTAATACATTTGCAGAGAAACCCGTCACACCAGTATGCACTATGTTCACTGCATTATTAGTTGCTTAAAATAGTGCTCCAGCATTGGAACAAATAAAGCAGCGATGTTGGAGACTGTATAAGATAAATAGAATAGAATATATAGTGCAATTACGCCAGAGGAATTGGCCATGGCAACCTTACTTATTTTTTCAATCCCTGGAAAAGTAGCTCACCTCGTCCATTTTACCATCTGACAGGCTATGAAACAGAGCAGGCCATTCCAGTTCAGTTCTGTTCCCTGGTTCTGCCTACCTTTGGGTAGCCATAACAAGGAAGCATCCACACCAGTCTCAAGCAATCTAGAGAAAAAAAGAAAGGGGCCATACCAGCACTGAGTCATTACCCAATGAATTTCTACTCTGTGCTGCAGAGATGGACCAGAAAGAAAGCTTCTGCCAAAGCCACCTTCTGGTCAACAGGTAGAAATGAATCCCAGGCTACCTGGCCCAGAAGCCAGGTGGCTGAAGTTGTGCTTCCCTATATCATGCCTCCACATGGCAGGCTCAAAGCCCCACCAAAAGGTGACTAGTCCCCTTTTGAGATGATCTTCACAGGCAACCACATTGAAGCAGCATCCATCTGATGGCTGGAAAATAACAAATGTCTCTACATGCAAAGAAAAACAGATAGGAAAGACTCGCAAGGAATCAAGTGAATGCATTAAATTATATCAAATGATGATATGGTATTATTGATATACGGTATGGTACAATACGAAGAAAAGTCTTGGTCCAAATGAGCAAAAAGTAAAATTACATTCCAATGGAATATGGAGCATCATCTGATGAGTTGTGCAATTCTGTTTTTGCTTCTGCAGAATTATTCCCATTAACTGGTTAATTTATTTATTTAAACAACTTATATGCCTCCCTGCTGCATACTAATTCTCCCTACTGCATTGGTCTTAATTTGGTGAATGATACAGAAGCGGTTTTCCCACGTATGCCTTTGGCTTCATTTCTTTCGCATGTCAGATTGTTCTTGGGAGAATGAATGAAAGCTAACTTTGCAAGAGCTTGGATCTCTTAAGAGCTTCTCTCAGCCTTCAGAGGACTTCCATTAGCTCTTCATATTATTTGAGAGGCAATTAAAAATGAGCTGTGTAGCACCAAAGGAATTCATTCAACATTTGCTATTTGATGATATTTCATTTTGTGATGCACGCAGAGTGTCATTTTGTTAGGTATCCTCCTTTCTATACTTTCCCAAGAACTGTTGCCTTGATATGTACATTATAATTAGTCCCCTATCATTACTTGATTGCTTAGAAAGCCCTGCATTCTCAAGAGATCTGTAGTCTGCCTCCATTTTTCCCAAGTCTCAAACATCTTTTTACTAAAAAGAAAGTATCTATTCCTAGAGAAATGCTATTCCTAGAGAGATTCACAGTCAGAATTATTGCATTTCATGAATGTATTTATTATGCTTCCATCCAACCCTGTTCCCTCTTGCAAGAGGAGCTTACAAGGGGAGGAGGAGGACCAAGAGGGTAGGAAAAAGTGTGATAGGTTCCTTGCAGGAGGAAAGGAAGTCAAGCAGAAATATGATGGTGATGGTGCTACTACTCTGCATATATAATAAATATGATTATGAATGTTTCTCTGGGAAGAAAGTCTTCATCACAAAGCAACCCTGTAAGGTAGTCTGGACTGAGAGTCAGTGGCTTGCCCAAATGTCCCAAAGTCATCTAGTGCAGTGCATGGTCAAGGGGGGATTTGGATGTGGGTCTTTTGAGATCTGTTTCCTCACATCAGCTGCAGTTTTGTACTGGCTCTCTAGGGCAAGTCTGCTAATGGATATGTTCATGACTAAGAGCACAATCCTAACCCCATAATGGCAATGGAGAGCCAGTGTGGTGCAGAGGTTAAGAGCGTGGGACTGGGACTCAGGCGATCTGGGTTCGAGTCCCCGCTCAGCCATGGAGCCAACTGGGTGACTTTGGGCCAGTCACAGACTCTCAGCCCAACCTACCTCACAGGGTTGTTGTTGTGGGGATAAGATGGAGGAGGAGAACGATGTAAGCTGCCTTGAGCCCTTTGTAGGAGAAAGGCAGGATATAAATCGAAAAATAAATACATGGCTGAAGAGAAGATGCTGCATTTGTGTTCACTAAGAGCCCTTGGCTGTCACTTGTGCGAAGGCTTCATTGCAGGAACACACCGCATGGGGGACAGGAGCTGCTTCTGTTGGTTCTCCTGCTTGCAGAAGCAACTGCTGAGGGATCAGGAGAAAGGGTCCAAAAGAAATCATTCCATGGGCCGGTTGAGGAGGAACAGCTGTCTGTAGCCCATCTGGACCCAAGCCAGACTTACCAGCTCCAACAGCCTTGGTGCTGTTGCATCTTATCCCCTCTGTTTCTTCCACTTCCCTGCTTCCATTGCTCTCAGTGGGAAAGGGACTGCTGCTCTGTGGATTGGCTGAGCTGAAGACCTGGGAAAATGGCTTCCAGCTAGGCAAGTGAGGATGTCATGGGTCCATCTTGTCACTGCCCATATGCCCCAGTCAGGCTTCTCCTGCAAACTGCAACAAGGACAGTGTGCTGATGTCTTACATTTTGCCATAATTAGGGGCTGCTGGGAATGATGAGTACATATAGGTCCTAGCCCCTAGAACAGGAGTCAGCAACCCGTAACCCAAGGGTCCCATGTCATTCCTGCATCCCACTGCAATTGCCTCCCTTTTCTGAATCCATTTTTTTATGTATATGCTGAAAAAAGGTTATGGAGGTCACTGAAAGGGTCAACATTTATTGATTTGCAAATTATCCAACCCTGCCATCATATAATTTGTCAACCTGCAGTGCTACATTATCTTCACAAATAGCAGCTACCTCCAGAGTACAAATATTCAAGCACGTAAAGGCAGTTCTATCTCTGTGTCTTTCATAAATACTTTGCATGCAAAATATATGCAAACGTACACCTTTTAGTCTTGTAAAACTTCCTCAGAGCATAAGGCATGACAAAGATCTGGTCTAGGAGTTGCATTTGGGGAGTGTGGCTGGAACATAAGACTTAATATCCTTTGTGTGTCTTTCTTCTTTTTTCTGCGAGCCAGAAGGTAATACTTTCATCCATCCAGCATGATTTAATATACAGGTGACTTCAGCACTTCAAAGCACTAATGACTAATTGACAAAGATATAGCATGTGCTAAATCCAAGTAGCGGAAAATGAATACAAAATGTCTGCCGATGTTTTCTCTGGCAATAGGCAAACTACCATTTTGTTTAATAATGCTTTAATGACCATGTGCAACCTGCATCCAAATGTTGAGCAAATATTGCTTCATTCGCTGTGGAGATTGATGTAATTAGATTACAGAGATCATCACAGAATTAGATGTAGTAGCCTGACCTTTCCAGAAATTTTCTCATTATTCAGGCAAATTAGGCCGTATGGTAATCTCCTTTCCTGATATCTAAACTAAAAGATTGTTAGGTAGTTTCAAATAAATTACAGTTTTATAGTGTTTGGCACATAATCAAGTTTACCTTGAGCTTCTGCTTTTCTTTCTTCATTCATTTAATGGAAGGGAGAAGTGGACCCATTTAATCCATTTTCTTATTGATCTTGTTCTGACCAGTGCAATACAAATGCTTCAGTTATAGCATAGGTTTTCTTCATTAGAATAAAGGCCTTAATCAAATTACACTTTTATTCAGTAATTGTATATTTTGAGAATATGATCTTTGTTTCTCTACTTCTGTTTCTAGTAGAATTGCTTCGGGATTCAATAAAATTAAGCGGTATGTAAATAGTATAAATAAATACCTAAATAAAATACTAACATCACATAAAGTTAGTTCAAAGTTTAATGGCTGGAGTCCATGCATTCTGTGTCTTCCAGTAACACATTTATTTATTGAAAACATTGATAACTCTTTTATAGAGGAGCAAGTCAAGGTAGTTTCTAAAATAATGGAAAAGAAATCATTTATAAAACAAAAGTCACAAATAAATAAAGACAAAGCAAAACCTTTCAATGAACCCTAAAAATCCATCTCAGCTATTCAAAAGTATTCCTTAATGGTTGAATGAAATGTGTTGTTTGTTGCATGTGGTTGTTTTGTTCTTTGTTTGTTTTGTTTGTTTTTTGGAAGCCATCCAGAGACTTTAGTATTGAACAGCATATAAATAAATAAAATAAAAGCTACATTCAGAGATGCAACTTGACCACTTCCATGCTTTTGTGTAGCCTGAAGGGGCTGAGCCTGCTGAATCTTGGAAGCTAAGCAGCATCAGTCCTGGTTAGAATCAGGATGAGGACCCTGCATTGAACTGAGAGTTGGACCCAGTGGCCTTCTAGGCCTCTTCCAAGTGTATGATTCTATGATTCACATTTTGAAATAAGAGAAAGCGCAGGCCAGTTATAGTCAGCTCGACTATTCTGCAGAGTCTGAGAGCAACCCAAGGGAAAGCCGTTTCTTGCATGTCCAGCAATCAGGCCTCTGTAAATATTACTGTCCTCAAGATGCCCTCCATTCTCAGATTTCAGTAATTCACAGTGAGAAAGGCACTCTCTCAGATAGGCATATCCTAAATAATTGGGATCTGCAAAGGGTAAAGATAGTGCTTTGCAGAAATCCCACATGCCTTTGTTCTGTGTGTTTCCTCCCTGTGAAAGAAGCAGTTGTTTTTCTGCCATTTTCTGGGGAGTTTGAAACTTATAGCGATTTTTTTCCCCATGTACATGCCTTCAGAGCTGACCTTACGGTATGGAGGTAGCTGAGATGAGGGGATAGTTTCTATTTTTTCCCCATTCTGTCCTTTCAGTGCCTCTGTGGCTTAAGCATTCTGGAAAAATAGAATGCCATCCCCAACCTAATGATGTCCAGATGTTTGGAATTGTAACTCCCAACATCTCTGACCTTTGGCCAAGTAAAAACTGATGGAATTTGAAGTGTGGAAGGTCAGAACAACACCAAGTTGTAGAAAATTAACTAGCAAACATTAAGAAGGCTTCCACCCTAAAGGGTTCCCAATGTTGTTGAAATCTAAGGCGAGAATTTTTGGTTTGGTTTTGTTATTAAAAGTCCTTCTAGCAAGAAGATGAAGAATATTAACAGCAACAGGTTCAGGTTTTAGGCACTCTTGAGTCTTTGTTTAGAAAGATGTCTGAGAAAGAAGGGGGAAGGGGCAAGGGGAAGGGAGGCAGAAGGGGAAGGGGAGGGGGAAGGAGAAGGGGACGACACCTTGGCCCACTTGCATATAGGAAATCTGCCAACCTCCCAGCATATGCCATCTCCACTCCATATCATGGCCTGTTTAAGCATAAGCCAGAACCTAGGCTTTTCCTTCTCACAATAAGCCAAAGTTGGAACTCTCATAGTCGAAGCATTATATTCTACCATTTCTCATATATTCCCATTGTTCTATTAAAGGGTTGTTATACTGAGCTGGAAGCATGAGTCCCAGGCTATACATACTAAAGCAATGTGGAAAAGTTTCAGAGGCCTCCCAGTAAAACCTTACAAAGCTGGGCACAAAATCACAATATCATGCTGTAAGTGCACCTTAAACTCATTTTTAAAGATAAATTGGCTACAAAAAAATATTGAAGATATTTTTATCTTCCATAAAGCCTACATTAGGCACAAGAGACAAATAGTTCCTAAACTGTTATTACTTAGAACGGCTGCTTTCTCCTCGTTTTGACACATCTGGGGCGTGCAATTATTCAGAAAGGTCACTTTCTACAGAAGGAAAGGACAGTGACCAAAAGGCAGGAGTTAGGCTACAAATACACTATGACAATTTAATCAATGAGAAAGCCCCAATGTCAAGAGCCATTTCACTCCTTGCTTGACAAAGACTGACACCTCATCAGACCCCTGGAAAATTGTCTATGGACACAAGAGCCCTGAGAATCCAGTGCAGCTATTAAAGCACGGAGAGATTCAGATGCATTACAGATACAGCTGTTGAGCCAGAGTCTTCTCTCAGTGTTAGACTTGTAATTAGCTTGGGGAACAAAGGAGGATCATCTGTGGAGAGTGGAGGCTGCTGGGCTATGGCTGAATTCAAGAACAGCTTTCTGTGCTCAAAGGCACAGTGACCTTTCCATGCTTCTTGCAAGCCACATACATCAGAGCTGGTTTGGGTTTCATTCCTATCCTTGCACATTATGTGCACAGGTCCTGCGTACTCCAGGTGGGAAGTCCATAGGCAAAACCAGCAAGTTCTTGACCCAGAGGAACTTAAAGCTAAGTCTGACCAGGAAAGGAAGACATATTTGTTATGAGTTGCACTGTACTCAGATAAATGGAGGTCATGTGGTAGCCACTTGACTGCAGTCATGTCGGCAAGTCACAATCCCTCTGAGTGCACTTAGAAATCCAGGGAAGTGAAGGAGTGCTAGCCCACCATGGTAGCTGACCACCACCATCTCTTCGACACATAATTACAAGCACACTGTACAAAGCATCTAAGCAACTGGTACGCACTCCCTGCCATGGCACACATCACCTTTGAGGACTTGAGACAGGTGATCCAAACAGCATTCTATGCTCCATATAGTTAACATGGAGCTCAGGCATTGGGTACCTGCTTTGCACCAGCCCCATTGTCATGAATGGAGCTGAGGAAGAGCACAATTTGTTTAATGGGTAGAATGGGTTCAAATCCTTGTTCAGCCATGAAGGTCACTGGGTAACTTTTTTTCAGCCAAATCAAATGCTCAAGGTGCTGGAGCAGAGTAGAACCATTAAAATCAGTGGGGTTTTCATCACAGGAGAGCAGATTCTAATCATAGTCCTAGTCATACTGGGACTGAATCCCAATGAATCCTAATAACTCTGATCATATAGGAGTGCTTCATATACAATGGTTCAAATTGCTTGTGTTGCCAAATGTAAACACTCATGATGTTATTCATACTCAGTTTCCTTAAGCGTGCTCGTACTAGTACTTGTGTAGCAATACTGCAACTTGGAGAAAATATGGACTCGTTGCATCTTGTCTGCTTGCAGGAGCAGCTGCTGAGGGAGCAGGCATAAACACATACAGGTAATTACTCCAGTTACAAGGACTATGAAATCCCAACTACTCCACTATTATGTACAGAATATCCCTGCAGTAAGACAGCTACAAAGTGTGGAAGGGAGTGTCTTGTCATACCCACCAAATTCAAGAAAGCATCAGTGAACCTGGTGTTAATTCTTGAAGATTTCTGGGTTTTGCTATTATTCCAAATTGTGGCACTAAGACCACATCTGTTTCAAAAAATAACATGAGAAAATCCCTGAAAAACACACAAGCTGCCATATTATGCTAAAACAAAAACTCAAAAACAAAACAGTCCCAGTTGATTGCTCAATTTTGTCTGAATGTTATTGAATTGCAAAGTGATGCATTATAGCACGGCTGTACAAAACTTTTGTTTCAGTTGGCAAATCACTCAAAATGCCCCATTTGCAACTGCAAATGCAATGTAAATGGGAGTTCATGTTCTCACAAGATGTGACTTTTACCAATGTGCAACTTTAATGCACAACTCTTGACTTCCAAACATGCCATAAAAGTATGTTCTGAATCAGAAACATGAATCTCAAACCTTGATGGTCAAGAGCCACTGTGCAAAGTTATGCTTAATTGCTAGGACTGACAGCTCTTGCAGATATCCCATCTCATACATTTAGGAGTCGATGTTCATATTTAAAAGAACAAACCAACTTTCGAAAGTTAGCTCCTTATTGTGCTAATAAATATTACAGAAATTAAAGTACGCTAACATATAGGCAGCTTTCCAATGTTGTAACAGTATATAGCTGAAAGCAGTTTCAAGAAATTTCTCTTTCATTAAGTGCCCATGATATCAGTCAGCTTTCTTCTTTGAAACTTCTGCTAATTCTACCAAGGAACAAAGAAATGTATAGCATTTGGTAGTACAAATAGGAGACAGAAAGGGAGATTGAGAGAAAGAGCTAATCATGTGCATGTGTGCATGTTTATATTTCAGAAGCCCTTTATTCTGTCAAGAAATGAATTAAGAAAATAAACCTTACCATGAAAAAGGAAGAAATAATCTTACATCATGGAAAACATGTCTTCAGTCTTCATTTTATCTCCACTGTAATATCAAAACTTCAGTGTAGTGTGCTGGTCCGAACGTTGAAGTGGAACTTGGAAGATCCAGGTTCTAATCCCCACTTGACCGTTAAGCTCTCTGCATAATTTTTGGCCAATCACTGACTCTCATTCTAATGTCCTTCACAGGATGTTGTGAGAATAGAAAGGAAAGAATGAGGACCATATAAGCTACCTTAGGTTCCTTGCAAGAAGAAGAAAAAATTGGGATAAAAATGTAATAAATACATTCATAATTTCATACACTCTATTGCTTCACAACCTAGAATCCAGACATGCAGCAAGGGCACATATTAATTAAATAATGCAAAGAAATGTAATGTTATGCTTATTTCTCCAGAAACAAACGAATCCCAATCTTCATATGGGTAAATGTTACACTGATCAGCACATTCCATTGCCTTTTCACCAACAGGACAGCTGATGGTGATCATGTCCTGCTCATTCCCTCTTCCATTGAGCACCCAGTAGAAACTTCAGACACTACACACTGCAACCATCCTTTTGAAGGATAACGCTTCAAAGACCACAAAGATCTGCTTCTCTCCTCCATTCCTTCAAGCCAATCAGCAATAAAATGCTTTCAGGAACAGGATCTCTTCACGCTGGAGCCGGGGGTCAGACTAGATGGCCCGGGAGACCCCTTCTGACTCATTCTGTTTCTATGTTTCACCATAAAGGTGCCTCCAGGACTAATCATGGCGGAAAGTTCACTAATATCCTCCCAGGCCACATTACCTGCCAGATGAGACAAAGCAAAAACTAAACAGAGAAAACATCAAAGCCAAAGGCCAGGCATCAACCCTAGACAGAATAAATAGAATAAAAATGGTGTCATATGTGTAATGGGACATTTATGCATGCAAGGTATGACTTGATATTTTAGGTAAGTAATAAATATTTATGCCTGAACTTCCATGGTCAAAGGAGGTATTGAATGTGAGTTACTGGGTACTTTCTGATTCTGAGTATTCTAGCTTATCTCATGTTTTCTCATGTGCAGATCTTCTCCTGGTCAAGTACAGGAAGTTCCAGCATACGAAGCTGAATCACGATCCCGTTTTTCTCAAAGAGATTCCCAAAGAAGCTTCTCAGTTTTTCACAGATTTTCTTTTTCTTCACACCTATTGGAGTTTTCTTTTCCAGTCAATCAATTCAAGTGGTGTCCTTTCCTAATTTCAGGTTCAAGGCCATCAATAATTCGCCATTTTGCTGATTTAACTAATAAAATCACATTCAGGAAGGTAGGTGAGGGAGATCCTAAGAAATCTTTCATGTGAGCCTAACCATATCTGCAGAAGTTCACATATGGCATCTGGAAACCAGATGGAATTCTAGATATGTGTGTGAAATAGAAGCAAGATCTAAATATTACCCTCCTGTCCCTGAGATCGGCAACAGAAGCCCTCCTCCGGGAACCCTCTGTGAAAGTTGTTAGGAGATAGAGTACCCGGAGGAGGGCCTTCTCTGTGGTGGCACCCCGACTGTGGAGTGCACTCCCCAGAGAGGACTGCCTGGCACCGTCATTATATGTTTTTCAGTGGCAGGTTAAGACCTTTTTATTTCAGCAATATTTTAATATGTTTCAATATTGAATTTTATTATTGTATTTTATTAACTTGCAGCCAGAGTGGGTTGTCAATTTATTTATGCTGTAAGCTGTCCAGAGACATAAGCAATTGGACAGCATACAAATTTTTTAAATTAATTAATTAAATAAATATTTTTACCACCATTTGTGCAAATGGTTTTTCATGCAGTTTGGTTTTTTTGTGCACATGGAGACTGATTCTCTACATTTCTGTAAAGGAATGCAAGCTGAATTTAATATTTTATTGAAATGGAAGTGGGTGTCATTGTCCGTTTTGTCCCCACTGATTTGTTCTTACCTCGCAGATTTTCCACTTCATAAAAAACTTATCATTGTGAATTTCACCTAGTCTAGCATTGGCAGTATGGTTTTCTGTTAGGATTATGTGATTTACATACACCACATAGACACATTTTAATTATTATTTTCAGTTATATTTTTTCTTATTTTTACATGACTTCGGTAAATAAGATGGCACTCTCTTCATCTCCAGGTTGTGTATACAAAATATGATGTATTTCACTTTTGAAATGGGCTGCAATTTGCACAGATTTTCTTTTTAACCTTCAGAAAGTTGCAAATATTTTGGAGCCTGAAATTTTCAGTTTGTATTCATTTCCCGAGACTGAGGAAATAGCATAGAGGTAACTGCATTGGGGAAACAGCAAAGAGCAACCAGAACAGAATCCAGAGGTTGAATCTGGAAAATCCATTGTGTTTCCATACTCACACCACCTGAAAAAGCCTTCCGTTCATATTCCTACTGGCAGGTAACCTGTAGAGCATCTGAAAAGACAATCAATGACAAAGCTTGGGCCTTCATTTTCCCAACACATCTGTTCCTATGGGACCTGTATAGATTGCAGTAGCTTTACTCACCCAATGTGGTTTCCAAGAATGATTCCATCACTAAGTTGCTCACCTTATCCACTCTAAAGAATGTCCTGCCACTGCATTTTCAAGTACTGTTGGGGTAAAAAAGAATCAGGGAATATACTGCTATGTTGCTTGTTCTCATTTTGAGCACTAAACTTATCTCCACTCTTTAAATTATGGTTAATTTTCAGCATGAAACAGAAACACATTAATTTCCTTAAAAAATGAAATTTAAAAAAGCAATATTCTATATGTTAGAGCTAGAGTCCAATAATTTGAGTCTACCAACTTATTTGAGTCTACCAAACCTACCAAACTCTTCTATGTTCCTAAGCATATTCAAACATTTTTGTGCTTCTCCTTGTAGTCCGCTCAGTCTATACTTAATTTAGTCTTCTCTAGAAAAAAAGATCTGATTATTTTGTAAACTAAACAAATGGATTTAGAACCCAATATGCACATTTAAAAATGGGGGTGACACTGTTTTCTATTAAACTTGTGCAAGTGGAATGGCTTATCTTTAGTTAAGAGATTTTATTTTTTATATAAATACCTTCATACATACACAGATCTTGCTGTCCATTATACGTTCTTTCCAGTATATATTTTGAGCAATTAGGGACCATTCAATTTTTTTATTATTATTTTTTGGAGGGGGGGAGATATAGACATCCCCATTTCCAATGCTCACACATATTATTAGCACTGCAAAAAGCTATGATGTGTGTGTAGAGAACATTCGATATGGGATGAATTAGAAATGAACAGGACATTTCTCCCCAAAGCTAAATATGTGTTTTCCACAAGTGCAGGATTTCCCAATGCACATGTTAATTCAGCTCCTAGTGAAACTTAAAAGTCTGGCTAGTGATCATGGATTCCTATTTATGCGGCTGATCCCCTTCCTATTTCACAGAATCCCAGGCAGATATCTCATTCAAATAGCTTACAGTTTAATATAGTACTGGACCATTTCCTCCCATCAGCCCCCACCCCATTCATACATAATCAGCTTGCTATCTTCCACAGTGTCTTCAACAAGGCATCGCTTCCCTCCATCCCCTCACATACCCAATAAATAGTTTTCTCCCAAAATATAAAGCACAGATATTAATTCCATGCCTATAAAACACAGCGTTTTAGCAACTAGTATTGTTCAGAGCTGTAATCTCACAGAACATTGCAGCCTTTCCTGGGAGGGCAATCCGAATAAGACTCGCTTTTAATTTACTCACTCACTCACCCACCCTGAGGGACTTCACAGCATGTTATGACTTCCGTATGGTGGATTTTATATTTTGGCACCAAGAAACAGTGAAGGCTGCAGCTCTCATGAGCTTGGCAAAATAGAAAAGTATCAACAGATGGGCACCTCAGGTAACATGCTGAAATCAACATGGTTGATTAATACACAAGTGGCCAGCTATGCAGTAGATGAATGTCAGGTATTCAGCATTGGCACTGTGGCAAAATGGCAATTGTTAACTTTCACTGAGAGGGGTGGGGAGGATGTTAATCAATGGACCTAATTCTCACATATTTGCTAGAAGCCCCATTTGAAGAAAGTTTGTGGGTTTATTCACTGTGTGCTACTCAGTTCCTTTAGCCAGAGACAGGGTCCAGCCTATTCATTTAAAAGAGCCCAGGCTGAATAATTATATACTCCAATTGTTCTCCATCTGTGCTAGCTTGATCTACAAATGTCTCTTCTTGTACCAGAAGAGAAACTAGCAGATATTCAGCTGTTCAGTCCTTCCAACTGAAACTTGCTTAGGTCTGAGAGAGAAGCTCTGCAGAAATGCCTGTGTATAACTCATTGCGGTTTTGTGATGTTCACTTTGTGTAGCTTCTGTGAACTTGCAATGTATCTGAATAGGCCTGAAGCCTTGTTTTGTTTCTGTCCAAGTCCAGTGTAGTCTTTGCTTAGGGGCATTTGGAAGGGGGAGGGGGGTAGGGAGAGTTGTCTGAATGTTGTTAGATGGGGCTTGAAGAAAATAAATTCAGTTCCTTTCAGCCAGAGTATTTAGTGCAAAGGAGAAATTGAGGATGATAGTACAGGTAGAACAGTGGTAGGATTGTAGTTAGAGTTACTCTGGGGAAAGAAAGGGAGGCATTCTGCTGGTTGGTGTCTGGGGTTGTAAAAAGGACTAGAAGAAACCTGGAGAGAAAGTTTACGTTTAACCCCATGGGGTTAAGATCAACTTATGGTTTTGGTCACTTTGTATGATGACCTACACTGGGAAAGAGATAGAGGAACTATGACTCTACTGGTATTCTGAGGTCTCTCATCAGATTTCAATACTTTCAGTCATGCCATCATTCTGGGGTGGCTGAGCGAGTTGAAAATAGGGAATACTGCACTGCAGTGGTTCCATTCCTAGGCAGTTCTTGGGGGCATTACTTTGCTTCTTAGATGCTCCAGGATTAGTCCCTCAGGGGTTGGTCTTGTCCTCCATGCTATTTAACATCTGCCTGCAGGCAGTGAGCAGGGTCATCCAGAGTTTTAGGGGGCCTTGCCATTAGTTTTAACCACTTTTGTGACCCCCCACCCCCCGACCAACTGAAACAAAAATGGCTTATCCCCATAGACATATGAAACATCTTGAAGCCTTCCTTCATAAACTAGCATAACTAAGGCAGCCACACCTGTTCAAGGCTACACAGTAACAAAGCCAGGCTTCTGGTCTATTCAGTTGAAACCCAGCCTTACAGAGGGCAAACAAAACATTTAAATATTACAAACTATAAACAAAGAAGTGAAAATTTGGGTACCTTCATGGACCACCTTGGACCATTTATTCATTTTTCCTATAGGAGTAAGTGCCCCAAGGTCAGCCACTGAGCTTTGTGGTGGTCAAGCAGAGCTCTGAACCTTGTTTGTCCTGTTCCGCCATATTACCTCTTTGGGTGTTTGAGCAACAAGCCTCCGTCAAGAGATCGCCGAGAAGCTAAACCGAATCCTTGCAAAACTTGCTTCGTCATGCTGTGCATCACAAACCCCTTTGAATGCAAGTGTGCTGGGCGCAGCGCTGATAAGAATGTTTTGCTGTGTCACTGCTCCTGTTCCTGAAAACACCCCTGCCCGCTTTTCTCATTGAATTTGCATGCAGAGTTCTCCAAGAACTGCAGATTTGTCTCAAGTGAAAACAAGAGAAATCAGGTCTGATTAAGATGTGTCATGTGAGGTGCTGACACATGATGAAAATATAGTAAAGGTGGTAATTAAAGTGTTCTTATTAAACCACCTGCCATTGCTGAGCTTTGCAGCTTAGCAGAGGAAATGATTGCTACAGGTGCTCTGAATGTGAGAAAGGAGGAAAAGCACCAAAGTATTAAAAGATGCAAATCCTTGTATTCATTCTGTTACTCTTTGCCTGGTGTTATGAACATTTTCAGAGTAATACTCACACATCTTATTTTATCTTCTTACATAATGCAAGCTGCTTCTTATCAAATGGAGCCTTTTCAATGGATAGAAAACATACTCCAACCCTGACTCTTTTCACTGAGGCTAGAAGAGTGAGGTCCGGTTTTCATTGGCAGTAAAGGAAAGACAAAGGCGTTCCCTTCTTTCTCTTCTCAAGTTCGGGAGATGGGATTCAGGTTACTCATCCAGTTCAAATTTGGACCTCATTGTTCAAATGGTGCAGTGGTTTCTACACAGGGTGGCTATGTGTCCCCTTTTACAAAGGACACTCTTCTGTGCAGAGGTAGCCAATGAATTTTTCTCTGTCTCAAAATCATTGGAAGGATGGAACCCTTCACATCTAGTTGAAAGGTGAATAGCCACGAGAATTAATAAATATGTGTATCCCATGCAAACTGGTTCTCCCTTTTGCACCCTGTTGGGTGATAAAACTCCTCTTTGGGGTTGATTTGTAAGCGGGCACCCTGTCACCACCACATTTTGGAAAGGCCTGTGGATTAGCTGCAGAGATAATTTTCATTGAGGACTGGGATAACTGCAGAAATAAATACATTGCCAGGCACCATAAAGGATTGATTCTGATCCACCCAAATTGTAGATTTAATTGTGCAGTGCAGAGTGGAATATTGCATGAACACCAAGGTACCACTGAAAATGACCCCGTGCACTGTGAGGTGAGAAGACATGGGCAGTCCTCATGCAATGGAAGCCCCAAAGGAAATCATGGTGCAAAGACAGAGGTCTTCAGTACATTGAGGGTCAGTGGCAACACTGTCATCTCCCACCAAATGTAAGCAGTGAGAGGCCTATATTCTTCTCTGAACCCTGGAGAAATCTTTCTGACATACTAAGTGGGTACACCACTTACGCTGGTTCTCTACCTAAGCAAAGACTCATGTTCCAGTATGTGTTTGGGCAGAATTCAGTGGTATCCCTATTTTAAACACCATATTTTCCCATTCATAATAGCAATTGTGCTCAGATGTCAGCACCAGGAGCATTGGGATGTTGATGCTTGTAGGTAATAATGCAGCTTGTCTTGATTCACAGAACCTACTTTTTAAATCCTATGCTATTTCTCATTGAGAATTAATTAAAATATATTGGTATCATGTAGAAGCAGATAAAATCCAAATTATGGGGACCAGATCTTATTGTGCTAATTCCACACAAATTCCAGTGTTGGGTGCATAAACAATTTTTCATCTATCCACCCATCTTTTTGCCTTCCCACTTGTACTTCAGACTGAAGGCTGCTAATTAAATTCACTTTCTCAGGATGCTTTTTATATAACTCATGAATAGCAGGTAAAATCAATTTGTGAACCCATTGTCCTTGATGCTCTGTAGAAGAGTTCCCAGCTGGAACTGATTATGCTTAATCTTCTTTGTGTTATCCAGGTAAAAATAATTCAAAGGCAAGTGTAAATAATTGTTGCTCTCCTTTTATTTAAATCCCACCTGGCAGTGTTATCGAACAAATGCAGATAAAGAGTGGAAGACTGGTCACCAAGTGAGGTTTTTCACTGGTAGGAGTAGTCCCCACTCTGATGCAGTTTGGTCTACCATGGGTGAGTGACTCACTCCTCAGAAGAGACTCAAGGGAATGATGGCATGCTAACTCAAGAGCACTAGGTACTTGGCCTACACATGATTCTGTGCCTCTAAAGATAAGCAATTTGCATGTTTTTTCCTTAGTTCAGCATTGGCTATACCTCCATACCTTTCACTGAGAGCCAGTGTGGTCTGGTGATTGAAACATCGTGATCCAGAAGTTCTGAGTTCAGGCATCAACACTCAGTTGAGTTACAAACTCTCAACCCAGCCTACCTCACAGGGTTGCTAATGGATAAAATGGAGCTATGCAAGCCACCGTGGCTTCCTTGTCTGAGGAAAACAGAAGTGGGCTATCCATGAAATGTAATAAGAATATTGTATACAATGCAAGGAAATCCCATTGAACTCACATGAGTTTACTTCTGAATGGGCATGTGCAAGATTGCATGGTTAAGAATGTCTTTTTACTATAGATACTGAGGCAAAGTCTGAGGAAAGTTTGGAGAAACCTGTTTAGGTCAAATATTTGCACACATTTCTGGGGTAGTTCTCAGAGAGACATGGTATGTTAGTCCGTTGTCTATTTGGTATTTTAGTCCAAATAGATATTGCTATTTTAGTTTTTGGTATTTGGTCCATTGACTCATGGTATTTTAATCCAAATTTTAGCTCAAATAAAATGAGATTTGACACATTCAAAGTCTTCTGAATAGGCAAAATATCTGTAGCCATCTTTAGGGGAACTAAAATGTTTTCAAAGGCATTCATGAACTTTCCCTAGAAAGCTACCTGGGTTTTGAGAGGAGCAGAATTCCTCAGGAATGTTTTTCCAGTGTTGTCCTGAGTTTGGTCAAAGCAAAATTCAAGGCAAGTGTCATGTTCTATCATCTGCCAAAATGCCTGAGAAAGCCAAGAGAGATTCAGTTCAGTGAGCATAATTACATATATGTGGAAAGCAGCTTCCTAGCAGTCCTTACAGTAAATGTTCTCCAGAAAATATGTGCAATAATAAGGAGAATAACAGCATGAAGCCTTAATTGCATCTGCCATGATGGGTCTAAGAGTGTGCACGAATAAAGAAATTATTAAGGGAGCAATACAGACATTCCAGAGAGGGTGACCGGATATTGCAGAACTCATGCTGATAAAGAGGTCTACCACTCTTGTTTCTCCACTGCTGCTTTTCTGAAGGCACCAGAGAGTCGGAAGGCTCATGTTGAAGATGGGCCAGGGACATCTTAGATCTGCAGGAACTGAAGTTCTCTGTCCCTCTAACACAATCATGCTGAGAAGGGAAGAAAACTGATGCTGCTGCAGCTGTTTTCCCTCCTGCTGAAACCAATGGGAAGGCAAATTGAAAAAGAATAGCAAGTACAAACTAGGGAGGTGAGCAAATGTGTTGTCCCATCTTCTGATGTGAACCTGATAGGCCTTCAAGTGTGGCATCCCTCCACTACAGTCCCCAGCCTCCGCAGAAGGCACAGGGTAAATCATTAGTAGCATATTTACCTTAGAGAATATTTACAATCCAGTTGTTGCAATAATGAAAACCAACTAAAATAGGTCTTTAAAATAAGTAACCACGTAAAATTCATTTTATTTGTCACTGAGTTACAACTGCCTATTACATACCTGATATTGAAAACAAAGGATCAGGCAGAAAATGTTGTTTCTAATCAAGCTGAACCCAGGAAGCTTCTCTCTCTGTCTCTCTCTCTCTCTCTCGATTCAGTCAAGGACAAGCAAAAAGCCACTTTTACTTTATTCTAAGCTAGTGGGCCTGTTTCTTTGGCGCACAACATCATTTGTCTTTGGGCTTTTAACATGATGAAACTGTCTCAAAAGGTCTGTTCCTTCTTCACTGCCCTTCAGTTCTTGAAAGTGCAAAGTTGTGGAGGACACAAGTGAGTATAGACAAGGACATGCTACAAAAGGCAACATGCAAAGACATTGAAATCAAGAAAACGACGGTCCTTGTAGACAGCCAAGGCATCGTCATAGCAGGATGAACATAGTGCTTGACAATTTTTTTGCCCTGTGCCTTGGGCTGAATAATTGTTGATGAGCACTGTGGGGAAGGCAAGTTTTTCATAGTTTCCACTTCTTTCCTATGGGTAGCACAGCTATAGGTAGGATGAGTGGATAGTTAGATATTATTATTATTATTATTATTATTATTATTATTATTATTATTATTATTATAACATTTCTATGCCGCCCCTTGCTGAAACCTCGGGGCGGCTTACAACATGATAAAATACATTGAAATACAATAGTACATAATAAATTACCATTAAATATAAAAATACAAAAAATACATTGATTTACAAATACAAAATTAAAATTATCAGTATAAAATAAAAATATAGGAGGAGAAAGAGAAGGAAGAAGAAGTTGCCCAGGCCAGATCATATGTTTTAACAATTGAAATGATGTTTAAATAAAAAGGTCTTTACCTGGCACCGAAAAACCAGTAACGACGGTGCCAGGCAGACCTCTTTGGGGAGTGAATTCCATAGGTTGGGCGCCACCACAGAGAAAGCCCTCCTCCGGGTACTTACTCTCCTAATTTCTTTCATGGAGGGTTCCCGGAGAAGGGACTCTCCCGCAGATCTCAAAGGGCGGTCGGGCATATACGGACGTAAGCGCTCGTTCAGGTAGCCAGGACCCAAGCCGTTTAGGGCTTTGTAGGTCATCACCAACACCTTGAATTGGGCCCGGGCTTCAATAGATAGATAGATAGATAGATAGATAGATAGATAGATAGATGGTAGGTAGATGTTGATAGACAGACAGACAGACAGACAGGGATAGTGGGAGAGGGAGGGAGAGATTGTTTTAGGATCATCCTTTATCATGGTTCAAATTAGCATGCTGTTAATTTGCTCACATGCAAACATACAGCTATAGTTACTGAT